GATGCCGTGTCGCCGGACAGACAATAATCAATCCGTCGCACTAAACGGTCACATTACCGTCACGTCATAAGATACGGGAATATCTAACATTTCTTTTTAGCTAAAAAAGGACGGTTTTTGAGATTCATCGATAACTTCATCGAACAGTGTTAAATCATCAAACAGATTACGGCAATCGATTCTTCATAGGCGCTTACATCGGATAGTGACCTCGCATCGCTTGCGAATCGAGGGCCCAAAGCCATGGAGATGCCGATGGTAATTGACGGGGGGCGGGCGGGACTCCAACAGAGTTTTCACAACCCCCAAGCGAACGAAAGCGCCTACGCGCCGAGCGTGGAGCGTAGTGGCGACGAAAACGCAACGAAGAAGCAAATCGACAGCCAACGAGCGAGCGTCGAGCAAAAGATTACCGACTTAGTACCTCCCGAGAAGATCGAGGTTATGGGAGGCTTAATAAAACGCTGGCATGAGCTAAAGCTAGCCGGCAAGGCGCTGGAACAGTGCGAAGACCGATCCGCTACACCAGCCAACGTACTAGCAGCGATCCGAGCACTTACCGAGGGGATTACAACTACAGTACAAAAGACGATACAAGACACCGTGAAAAGCGTAGCTATGCCTACGACCAGGTCCTGGGCCTCAATCGCCTCGGGAACGGCCCAAGGGAGGGAACCCGTCGGAGCTCCGGTGTGGCAGCAACGGGTCGTTGTACCCCAGCGAAGGGAAAGAGAAATAGTGATCCGAGGGACGGAAGACCCTAGTATGAAGAACAGGAGGGCGGCTGAAGTCGTCAAAGCAGTGAATAAGGCACGCGGTAGCACCGACGCCGTAGCGGCCCGCAGGCTACGCAGTGGCGACACCGTGGTAACGTTCAAACAATCGGCCTCGGCGATAAGGCATTTCTCAACCGCAGGGAGGTTGCAGTTATCGCAAAAGGCCTACCTGCGAAACGTTCACGAGAGGTCCGTGATGAGAACCAACTACTCAAGGACCTAAAGCGAGATAATACGAAGCACCTCTCTAGGGCTAAAAGAAACCTCCCCCGGACGCCTCAGGCACCATACGCGGCTCTGATACTACACGTGGATAGCGTCGAGGCGGCGATGGAGCTGTGCTCTGAGGGACTTATAGGGAGGCCCAGATATTCGACTGTGAGCCGTACGACGGCAATCTCCGGGTCCGACAGTGCTACCAGTGCTACGAATATGGCCACATAGCGAAGCACTGTAAAAAGACGAGACGTTGCGGTATATGCACCGCGACGGCACACCCAGGGGGCGAAAAAGACTGCCCCGAGAAGGCCTCAAGCGGCAGAAAGCGCTGCGTAAACTGTAATGGGAAACACGCAGCGTGGGACAGAGCCTGTCCGATGGCGGAACAACAGTGACTACGCGTACGCTTCGCGTACGCCCACCGCCCCCGGCAGTTTGAGGTCCGTAGCTACTCGGACGGGCTGTCTAGCGAAGGCAGGCCCACTCCACCTAGCTTGTTAACTAGCGACGGGTTTACGATCGTACGACCCCGGGGCCGCTCTCCAGGCGGATCACGGGCGGAGCAAGTGCCGACCGAGCGCTCAGTGTCAGCAATGCGAAGCTTCCTACGTAGCAGCGTATGTATTTAGTCCAGCCATTAGGGCACGGTTTGACATACGGGAGCACTTGTAGAAGTACCGGGGGCTTCGAGCCTACGGCGTATTTAATAATAATAAATAAATCGCTATAGCGCGTTGAATACCTAGTCTCTTTCGGATCGCTTCAATCGCTAGAATAAGTATATCTTCTTTCCGTTAGAGGTATTATTACCGGGTTAAAACTCGTTAAGGTCTAAATATAGCGGTGGATAGCTCCTCGTAAAGCGTTGAAATGTATAATATAAACAGTATCGGGGATAGCGGTGACCCCTGGGGGACGCCAGCTCGTAGGGGGATTGGCTCTGACTCCTTGCCATCGAACCGGAGGCGTACCGTCCTATCCTCCACGAAGCTGCGTACCCACTCCTGAACCCACTCCGGGTAGCCTTTCCGGGCTAATATGGAAATCAGCCGTCTGTAATTGACCGTATCGAATGCCCCCTTGATGTCTAGCTGTAGCAGCGAGGCGATGCTCCCGCGTCTCCACGCCGTATAGACCACGTCGTCAACTATACGTATTGCCAGTTCGGTGGGCCTCCCAGCGCGGTTACCCATTTGGCCGTTTGGTAGTAGGCCGGCCGCCTCAGCTACTTTGGTGATACGCTGGCTCATCGCCGTCTCTATTACCTTCCCTACCGTGCTAAGCAGGGCAATGGGGCGCCAGCCGCCAGGGGTCTGCTTCTGAGCTGTCGTTTTATTAGGCTTAGGGATAACAACCACTCTCGCTGAGCGGAAGCGCTCCGGGTAGTACCCCAGCCTAAAGCTAGCTGTTGCCAGATCCACTAGGATCTCCCATAGGGGTTCACCGCATGCCTTTAGCAGGCCAGTGGGGATCAGGTCGTCGCCGAAATAATATAATATTACCCTCGACTCTAGTACTAGCGAAAGAAGAAATATCGGACGAGAATCTAGCCTAATAGGTCCTTAGGAGGGATACCGAATATAACTAGTATTATTTATATAGATAGATAGGATATTACTCTCGATAATACCCTAACTATAGGATCTATAGTAGAACTAAATATAATAGACCTTACTCTGAAGACCGGAACCTAAATATAGCGCTACTAGGGGTCCGCTATACCGAGTAATAGGGGTACGAGTAGCCGCTCCGTCTAGAAACTACTATCTGTCTCCGGGTTAGCGGCTACTAGCGTATAAGGAAAGGCATAATTAATACCGGAGTAGACGAGAATATCGTTAACTCTAGAGTACTCGGTATCTAGCTAAGTATACTGTGGGACTCTAGTAAGACGCTACGGGGTATATAGGGAAGTAAAGGTCCTAATTATAGTAAGAGAGTATTATATATAGGGAATTGATACAGACGCGGAATCTCTCAGACGCGGAAATTTTTACGCACTCTTATTGGCTAAGCCCCACAAATACATCTGCACAAAGGCGGTAAGTCGACACACCTTAACAACGCTCAAAATAGAAGGCAGTCAACACACCAACGCATTTAATACCTGTTGGCGCAGCCAGCGTATTCGCGACCCATTAGAAAGGAAACATCTAGCAGTATATAAGTATTTACTTTCCTAAACGTCTAGCAAAGGCGGGCTTAATCCTACTTTAATTACTGCTTATTAGACCTTGTGCGATATGGTAAGATCTGTTACGGTAAGCACAATTGAAGAGTCAAGACACTCTAATGTACCATATTAACTTCACGATTCTAGACAAGGAAGGAAAGAGAAACTACAACTACCTGGCTCTCATCTGACATTCTTCAATCCCACGTTCAGATGGCCCGTGCCTCAGGTCCTCTGTCGGTGGGGTCTGTTGTGACACCGGCGTCACACGGCCGTCACCGTCACAAGATCTCCTCGTCGCTACTAAGACAAATCTCCCACTGACTCCTCCGCCTCCGAATACTAGGCTGCATCGGCCGCCCACGTGCACGCGTTCCTGTTGTTCTTCCAATACCTAATGTATCCACCTGACTTCGCGTCTGTCGATAAGATCGATCGTCGCTGGCTTCCTGTCTAGCCTGCTGCGCGAGCCTTGTTAAAGTCGACCTGTTTCTGCTCCCTGGGGGTCGGCCCCGCCTCCGTTGTAACGAGCCCTGGCTAACCGGCTGTCCTGCCTGACTGCATGGTTGGCTACGTTGCTGACTGCCGAGATGGATTGCTAGGTGCGCCGGGACTGGCTGTGAGGTGTTCTTGGGTCTCCCGCGAAGTGCCGTAGCGATCTTTGGATCGAGAATTCGACGGTATGGGTCTCGAGACGACGTCTCTCGTAGTCGCCAACGCGGATGTATGTCCCACTTTGTCAATGTCTCCCCAGCCGATAACTTCGAGTAGATCCTATGGTAGCATGGAATACCAAGCTCAACCGAGATGGTGCAGTCCTCACTACACTCGCCGAGGGGCGGCGGAAAGGGTCTCTGTGCAGTAGGCATTGCCTTTTTCGTAAGGTGGTATTGTATCTTGATTAACCCGAGACCCTTCGATGCTATTAGGGTTCGGAGCTCGCCTAAGTTCTCGGTGCTTCCGCCGAGATACTCGCGGTGCCTTAGAATCTCGTCCTGGGCACAGGCGTCCTTGAAATCTCGCTCTTGGTCTTTGATCATGTCCTGGATAGCTTCGGTAAGACGGTATAGCTGGCTCGTACCATTTAGTAGATAGCTCTTAACGTTGTTATTGCTTGCTTCGGTGCCAGATGTAACGCGGATGCCGAAGTTGCGGTACCGCCGGATAAAACAGCGTGCCCATTGTTCCCTCACAGGCATATAAGTACCGTAAAGGTAACGCAGAATAGGCCGCTGGTCATTGAACTCCTCACATAGGTCGGTTCATGCCTTCTCGTGTGCCTCCTTAGTCTCTGCGAATAGAACTCGCTTCCACATATCAAGGATACCGCGGTAAGTATGGGGGATAGTCTTATCTACTAGCGCCTCGATATGCTGTTGATCTGCGGCTGAGAGGTAGGCCTGTGATAGCGCGGGGATCTCGTCTTCGCTGCTATCCTCGCTACCGCTGCTAGGACTGTGATCCTTTACCCACTTTTGTTTGGCTCGAAGAAGGACATTCGAATTGATATGGTGGATACAGAGCTGCTGCTGTACGTCGGGGAATTGATCGTTTAGGGCCGCTTTCATTGAATCATCGAAGTCGGTGATAATAACGTCTGGCTCTCGAACCTCATGCTCCTCTATCAGTTGTCGGATACCCTCCGCTAAGAACTGGAACCCCTCTCTTCGCTCATTATCGATCAATCCGAAGGCGGCATTATAGACTGTGCCGAGGCACGTCTGCCCAGTGGCTTGGAACAACGGTAGCTTAAAGCGATTAGTTTTATAGGTATTGTCGAAGCTGATAACCTCAGGGAAGCGCTTCCACATTCCAACACAGTAAGGAGTTGTCTAGATGAGCCCAACGAGATGATTAGGCTCATCATCTGCCCACTTGATAACATAGGGAGTCTTGCTTTCATCGAAGAGCTTAATTAGAGCCGCGGTTGGTGTGTACCCCTTTAACTTCTCGCGGTTAATTAGAGACCTAGCGTTATAGATATCTCTTTGCGTAAGGACAGAGTCGGGATGTTGCTCTTGGACAATAGCACGTACATCACGGGCGCGAATGCCTACGCGATGGCTTGTAGATTCGATAGTATTCTTGACGGTCTCGGTGAGCCTCCGGTGGGAAGGATGTGCCGAGGGTTTAAGGCTAGGGCTATGATTATGCTGGCTATGCTGGTGGTTTGGGTAATGCCGAAGGAGCCACTTCCCCTCCTCGATTGCTTCGGCCATCAGCATCCACTGGCATCCACACTTGCGAGACTTGCGCTGCTTCGCCCCGGTACCTTTGGTAGGCTCCGGATCTCCGAACCGGTCGCATCGAATTGAACATCTAATCTTCCGGCCCTTATAAGAGTAGGTACTACATCGCGCAATCCCAAAGCCATTAGCTTTAGCAAATGTATTCACTCGCTTAAATAGAGCGTCTAACGTCGGCTCTGGTTCGTCTGTGATCGGAGGGTTTGGAATCGCGTCGGAGTCAGGCGAAAACGAGGCTGGACTCGAGGAGATCGATATGACTGGAGCCGGAGAGCAACGTAGCAGTGAATAGGGCGGAGGGGATCGGTACTCATCGGATCTAAGCGGAGAGTAGCCCCATCTCTCACGCCATTGGCGAACTCGCTCGTAGGATTGGGCAAACTCGAGAGTAAGTCTTCGCTCTGTCCCGACTACCTCGCGGACTAGCTGTAGGGCGTTGGCGAATTGGGCATCTGGCGAAGGCTGACTTGGCTCGGCTGTCTGGGAATACGGAGGAGGTATGTGAGGCTCGGGGCCAGGGAGCGGCGTACGGACTCGTTGGTGATCCCGATTATTGGGTAGGAAGTCGTTAGAGAGGTAAATTTCGTGATCATTACGCAGCTCCCATAACGGCTGATAACGCCGACGGGAGCCATGGGGCTCGGGTACTGTTGTAAAGGTCTGCGGGAACGAGGCGAAGATATTATCGAGACTCTCTTTATCGCCAATTCCGTAGTATTTACCGATGCTTGTGCCGATGCTTGTGCCGCCACTTGAGGATGAAGGGGGTCGCGGGGAATCGTTGGATCGATGACAACGCTGTCGCTTTGAGGGACACAATTGACTGCTGCTACTGGGGCTTCGTGCACGACGCTGTGCTGTGGGCTAGGACATGGTAGAGGGCATAGGAATCTAAATATCTGATACGTAGAGATATTTGGATTCCTAAGAATAGAAGAGATCGTAGTAGCTACTTCGCGAATAGCCTCGCGACGCATAAGGTAGTTTAGCTGTACCGATAAGGTGGGTCTCTAGGCAGTACATTAGGAAAGGCTGGCAGAATCTAAGTGTCTTACCAGTTAAAATTGAACCAATGAGAGTTGGCGAGAGTTGGCAAAAATTCCGCGTCTGAGAGATTCCGCGTCTGTATCAATTCCCTTTACATATCTTATCTTATCTATAGCTCTGATTAGAGGTACGGTTAACTTTGCCTACTAGAGTCGGTTACGTCTTATAAATTCGATACTTACGTAGTTTACTTTGGTATAAGAGTCTAAATCGGTATAGGTAGCTACCTTACTATCGACTATAATATCAGTATAGAACCGAGTACCTACCCCTATATTAGGGTATCGCTCCGTAGCCGTAGGGCTATCTAGGGAGCGATATCTTTTCTCGTTCTCTCATTTTTCGATACCTCTATTCTTTTAACTATACCTTCGCTCCTATTCTTAGGGTATTTAGGGCTAACGTGATCCACAAGTCATTTTCGCACACAAGTCACTTTCGCACTTTTCTTGGCACCTTCAAGTAATTCAGTAATATCCTATGCATAACCCGCATTTTATCCTTTAAATTACTCAAAATCTTCTTCATTATCAGTTTCTACTTCTATTGAACAAGTCCTTGCATTATGTCCAGTCCCTCCGCAAATACCACAGCGCCTTATACCGGTCTGCCGGCGCTTTACAGGACGACTGCTTCCGCCTTCTTCCTCCTCCATAACCTTGATATCACCCCTCAAGGCCCCTAAAACTTGTGCATCACCTATACTAAGTGCTCCTCCATATTGGATTTGCTTATTTTTCGTCCTACGACGCTTACTTAGTATATGGTTCGTCTCACGAAGCTCTTCGTTCTCCCGACGTAATAATGCATTCTCATGCATCATTGCATGCGTAGCCTTCGTAGTCGAGTTAATTGAGTTCAAGATATGCATCGGCGAGCTGTCTTGATGCCTCTGGACGCTACTTTTAATCAAAGTTGACTGCGATTCGGCTTCGAGGGTGTTGGTAGGCGTCTTAGAAACCCAGACGGAGGGAGGCAATTGGGGGTCGGGTGTCGGTGTTCGTACTACTTTTGCGATATCCAACGTAGATATGACCCTATCCGGGTTAAAAGGAACAAGTCCAGCTGCTTCGAATCCTGATCTGATGTTTTTTTCGTGAAAAGCACCAATGAAAGCTTCTAAAAACCCAGCTAAGAAATTCTGCTTCTCAATATGGGTTTGATGCCTTCGCATTAAACCCTCCACGAACGCACCATACAGCCGTTTCAAAACACTAAAAGGTACCAAATACAAAAGGCTGGAGCTTGTGGGATGAATGGGAAGGCATACACAATGTAATTACGCCGTGCGCCGCGAGGTAAGTCTCAAAATCCATCGAGTGGTGGCTCTCGTGACCATCCAATATTAAGAGACTTTTCGCACCCTTCCGACGGCTAATAATATGTTGAACAAAGTGTTTTGCCCATTCCACACCAATATTATTAGTAGTCCAACCGTCATGGGAAAGGTCGACATTCCAGTTGGCCGGTAGGTCGTTACCGCGATACCACGAAGCAAGATGAACCTTGCCCGCGAAGATGATGTACGGCGGTACCGCCCAACCTTGCGAATTAATAGCCTGGATCACCGTAACCCATTCCCGACCTCCTTGTGTAGCCTGTCTAGGCCGTCCGTGTCTTTCTGCACTCGTTACAACCATACCGGTTGTGATTATGCCCATTAGGAAGCCCGTCTCGTCAAAGTTGTAGATATCCTCCGGTAGGATACCGTATTTAGCGATTGTGTCCCTAAAAAGCTCAAACCACGCGTAATACGCGATAGGATCTTCGCTAAATACCCTCTGGTAATCAATTCGACGGTTTAAACGCGTTCGGAGGTCTTGTCGGCGGTTAACGAAGTTCATGGTCCAGTTCTTGCCGACGGGGCGCGTCGCGTACGCGTCATAGGATATTTGCCATTTCTTCAACGTATCGAAGCCGAGGAGGAAATTCTCGCGCATCTAGCTCAATTATACGTCGGGCAATCGTATCCTCTTCGGTTTGAGTTAAATTTCGTTTTAACATATTAGCTTCGTGTCGCGTTTGGTCGCCGTCGAATCGATTCTTTAGTGTACGGTCGCAAACATTGTAGATATGGCCAAGCTTACGCCATGAAATTTCAGGGTTGCGCTTTTTAGCTTGAATAGCTAGCTGAAGATCGGCTTCTTTAGATTTACGAGGCATGTTGTGGGAGGGAAGAAAAGTACAAGCTAAGTTAAAAGGTTGAAATATTTGAAAAAGTGCGAAAGTGACTTGTGTGCGAAAATGACTTGTGGATCACGTTATTAGATAAGTAATAAGTACTATCGTACTTATAATACCTTAGTCTCTTTCCGTCCGCTCCTCGGGGGTTTCCCGTATACGAGTCGGAGGTACGTTAGCGAGAAGCTTTAATCCTATCTTTACCTTTTATCTTAGCTTTACTAGCCGTCTAGCTATACCCCTCTTTACGATCTCTCGTTGAGGGTACAGAGTCCTTATATCTCTGAGAGGATTTACTAGATCTTATCGCTAGCGAAGTATCTCGCTTCTTACTTAATCGACATATATTATCCTAGGCTTTTTAAGCCTACAATACTGTTTTACTCGGATCCTAAGCTTTCCGCTACCGTAGAGCTCTAGATAGTTCTATAAATCGGTAGTTAGCTTTATAAAGAAGCGTTCCGCCCGCTCCTCTTCTAGCTAGGCTAGTAGCTACTCCTTAATATTAGCAAGATATATATTAAAGTCTCGGGCCGACTAATACGCTCTCTACTCTACTTACTCGAGTTACCTCCGAAGCGTAGTATCTTTATGTTCACCGTCCTTAAGTAGGGATAATGTCTATTTCTTAAAAGTGTCCTAATTATAGCAGACTTCTTCTTATTCTTCGGGGCTTAGTCGTTCCCTAACGTATCGTTACTATAGCGTACGCGACTCGCCGTCTACATAGGTTATAGCTAGTAACACCTTACGTCTTAGCTTACGGAACTTTTTCGGATTCCCTATAAATAAGAGATCTAAGTCCGCTAACTATTCCTCTCGCTAACGAAACGAGATGTGTAACGAAACCTCTAATAGTCTAGCTGCGTAAACCACTAAAGAGTCTGTAAGGGTTTGTGCTAGTAAGTAAGTCCTGCTGCGGGGTCCTTTAGCAATAATATCGGGGAACGACGTATGGAGTATAGTGCTCTAGGTAACTGAAGTATTCAAGTAGGGTAACGGGGTATAGAGTCGGTCGTCAAGGCAGTTTACCTCACCAATAGGTTAGATTAATGCTTAGATTAATCACTGAAGTAGAGACTGTCTATCTATGAAATACCTAGGAGTCCTGTCCCTTATATACCCATCTCTCATTCACTAATCCCCACTTGTATATGTTCTGTACTAACATATCCTGTTAGTTGGATATATAGTTCACTAAATAATAATAATATTAAATACGCCGTAGGTGTTAACCCTCGGTACCTCTACAAGTACTCCCTTAAGGGGCTATAGATGATATAGAGGGCCCTGAAGCCGCGTCGGGCGGTTATACAGGTAAACCTGTAGCCAAACGACTACTAAACCTCCTGTCCCTCCCTAAGTCTGTGCTACAACCCCTGCCTGAACTACCGATAAGTGTGGTAATGTGGCACTTAAATTCGTCCTCAGGGGTGGGATGCTGCTGATGTGCAGAAGATGCTCGACTATTTTTTGTCGCGACAAGTCGTAGTACCTGCTAATTGGGGTTCTCGTCGAGCGTATATACACATCTCAACCATACGCTCAATTGGATAGACCGTAACGTGGTCTAGACGCTGGCAAGACTCGCGGTGAGAGGGCGTGCTGCGCGCCTTCTATCGTGTTAGGCAACCTTGGTGGGCTTTGCCAAGACCACCAAGGTTACCACGTGACTTAGCCCTTCGGGACTAAGTCCAACCTTCGTGCTCCATAGGACTAGATCGAATGTCATGCTTTTACAACCTCACAAATCTTTGACCACCTTTGCGTGTAACATATCGTGAGGGGACGGATTCGCCGACGAGCGTTATCGGATAGGCGAGGTCCGATAAGGGGTCAGATTAACGATTCGAATTCTGGACCTGCTCGTTACTAGACGAAGAATAACGTACTAGTTAACTAATATATCCAGTTAGATATATTGGATATGTAGCGATCCACATATCCACCCTTGTAAGTCACGTGACCCGGTCGGTTCTTTCCTTTCTCCGATGCGGGGTCCCGTGATCCTAATGCTTGTATCCACCTGGCCTGCTAATGTCGAATATCACGTGTGTCCAATCGAGTAGTCAGAAGTGCATAAGATTGTATATGAATGAGGTGTGTTATTGTCTGTGTTTTATTCTCGCGAACTCCCGTTGCTCTGCCCTTTATAGATTCTTTCGGAAATGTCGGAGGTGCATTGTTCAGGTGTCTGACCTCGAACTTCGGAGTTACTTTCGGGAAGAGGGGTTCATTTCGCCGTCTGAACTTCAAGTGACACTAGTCTTCTCTAGTGCCATATTATTTCTGAACCTAGGAACCAGGTGTCCTATCTGACAGCTAACGGGCCTGTAATATTAGTCTAGGGCCAACGGTTCGTAACATTATTCCCCTCCTTTATAATCTTTGTCCTCAAAGATCCTGGTCGTTTTAGAACTTCTTCCTGTAAGTCCTTCTTTTCCTCCATCCGGCCGTCATTATGTCTGGTCGTGTTGCCAAGTCTCGATCGCGTGCTAAGAAGACGGAGCAGCGGGATTCTCTTCTTTCGGCGATCCTTCAGAACGCTATCACTATGCCTTCTTATTCGCACTGCGAGGGTCGTA